CTACAGACTCTGGGGCAGGCGCTGGCCTCAGGGCTGAACCTCACAGCCCCATCTTTTGGGTGTAATGGGAGTTGAACTTCAGGGGGCCAGTGAATTGGCACTGGACTTAGAGGGCCTACTTAGCAAAGTTTCTGTGGGGCATGGGGGATGGAAGGGACTCTCAGCTCACCCTCCCCCTGCCTGGACCACTACCCATCCCAGACAGGGGCTCCCTCAACCCACCAGCATCCTTCTGTCTTCTGAATTTGAGCTTAATGTGCAGAGAAGGAGTCAGAAAGGACAATCAGTAGGGGCTAGGTTTCCCCAAGTTATTGGAGCAGAACCAAGCCTAGGTCCTGAGACTTGCAACTCCCAGCCCAGTGCTCATCCAGTCACATTGAGGGTACCCATCAGGAATAGGTCCTCGGGGGACCCGCCTCCCCATCCCTGCTCTTTAAGCTGTTTCCTGTCCCATCTGGGAGGAGCTACAGAAGTCTGATATCCCAGCCCTTGTGAGGCTTCGGTGAGCCTCCATCCTCAGCTTTGGAAAGAGTAGGCCTGGCTCTCCATCCTCTCCTTCCCCCATCCTCGCCTCCCCCTTCCCTCCACCCCAGGGGCATGTGGTGAGGAGTTCACTCACTCAGAACATTCCTCATCTGTGAGTGGTGTCGGGAAGGCAGGCAGGAAGTTGTTCAGGGAGGGAGAAATAGCTGTTGGTCCCACAGGGAGACTCCATCCCAGCCTGATGGGAGGAGTAGAGGCCCTATCTTCCAGGAGGACCTGATGTGACCAGGGACCCAGAAACAGGATCGTCCAATGAGTTAGGGGGGTAGTTGTCTGAGCCCTGGGGGGAACAAGGGCAAAGCATCCCAGATGCTCAGTGTTCTTGTCCTTAAAAATACCAGGATTGGGCTAGCGCACCATCTCTTGCTACTCTTTTCCATTGTCTTTTCCCCTCAAAGATTTCTTACATAAGCAAAAGAGAAGATAGCAGATAGCAGGTGGTACCAAGGAGCAGAGCGGCTTCTGGAAGCCAGGCTCAAAGACAGGCAAGGTCCCGTGCACTCACTTATTCATTCATTCACACACACGCTAAGCCGGCATTTGCTGAGCACGCCTCCGTGCCAGGCCCCATCTGGGTGTCCATGCCTGGCAAGAGGCAGGCCGACCTGGGTTTGAGGCCCCCACCTGCCAGGCTAGAGGACTGACAAAAATGACTGAGAACAATTAGAGAGAAAAGCTGAACCGTGGATGGGGAGCTCTGCTCACTACCGTAGGCCTGGCTCTAACACACCTTGGCACAGTCCCTACTGAAAGAAGGCACAGGGGTCTATGGGATCATAGAGGGATGCACCTGACTCAGGGTGAGGGTCAGGGGAGGCTTCCTGGAGGAGGTGGTCTTGAGCTGAGGGCCCATAGGCATTAGCCAGGCTGGGGGGGAGGGGGGCAGGCAGGGAAGGGGAAGAGGGGACAGGAGTCATAAAGAGCAGGCTTCTGGAGTAGATGTTTGGAGGTCCCTGGCCACAACAGTCCTGTCTAGCTATGAAATCCCATGGTGTCTGGACTTGGATCTCCCTCAATTCTTGGGAAGAATGAGACCCAGCCAAGCTGAGGATGAGGCTCACCCTCCAGCAGGATCATGGTGACCCTTTCTCCAGGGAGGAATGGGTGGATAAGGGTGTGAGATTGACCCTAGGAATCCTCCCCCAGGGAAGGCGCTATCTGCCACCCTGCCCTGTGGTGCCTTCCTCCCATCCTCCCCCATCCTGGCACGTGGGGGTGCCCAGACTTTCCTGCACTGCTCTGACCCTGGGCATCCGTGAGGGGACTGTCAGTCACTGGTGCTCTCAAAAGAACCTCTCAACCCCTATTCCGGCCCACCCAGCAAAGACCCCAGTTATCCCCACTTTACCAATGAGGAAACTGAGGCCCCCAAGAGTTAGGTCACTTCCTTGAGGTCTCAACAGACTCACATCAGGGCTGATTCCAGGGTGTTCCACTTTGCCAGTTACTATCATCTGAAGCTATGGTATTTGGCTTGGAGGAGGGGAGAGGGTTCGACTTCAAGGCACACCAGGCAGGAAGGGTCCAGAGAAGCACAGGGGGCCTGGTGCAGAGGCTTGGGCCTCAGCAGTTGTGGGTAGCAACATGGTAGGGGTGGGCATCCACCCAATCCGGACTCTTTTTGTTCCTAACATTCCCACCACACTCCCAGCCCAACAGTGGGAAGTAGAGAGGGCCCCCACGGTGTCTATGGGAAGGAACATCAAGGCCTTCAGTCTCCTTCTCCCACTGCTGGCCTCTCTCCTGGAGTCAGAGAAGGTGGCACAGATCCAGAGTCTAGGTTGGAGCCAGGGTTCACAGCCAGGTCCTGACCCCCACTTTAATATTCTGCCTGCTTGCCTTGCTACCTGCCCCCACCACAGTAGTAAGCAAGGGCTTCTTAAAGACTGGGTCCAGTGTTTCCTGGGTATGTATGGGTCACTATGCTTTGGCTGTCAGGGCTCCCACTCCCCCACCTAGTATCTGTTCACTTTACATTTGAAGACAACCCGGGAGATAGGAAAGAACTTGGAAATTTTAAGATCCTGGAGATTTCTTTCTAATTTGCTTCCTCTGGAGGGAAAGGGATGCTGTATGACAGAACCTAGTCCTGGGGGTTTGGGAGCTGTAGGCACGGGCCACCTGCTGAGGTGGAGGGGATATGTGTCAGGGGAGCCAAGGGTCTCCTGGTGAGGTCTGTTGAGAATGAAACTGCCATCTCAGAGGGGCCTTGGCTAGTCAGCCCAGTTCCCATGTCTCCTAGCCTAGGATGAGGGGTGATCAGGAGAGTCAGGGTGCTCAGGGGGGCATCTCAGTACCCCGGTGATATCCACTCTGCCCCAGAGGGAAACACCAGGCTCTCCCAGGAGGCCTTCATGGTCCATTTGACTCTGGACCGGGGCTGCACCTGCTACAGCCAGCGTTCATTGGCTGCTTCAGCCACCAATCACAAACTGGCTGTGCCTTTCCACCAATGAGACTGACTTCTGGGCTCTGCCTCCCAACCCTGGCTGGATCCAGGCTTGCACAGAAAGGCCTTGGCACCACCCTGCCTCTTGCAGGAAGCACCAGGGCCATGCCAAGGAAACCATGCTCCTTCCAGTCTCTTGGCAGCAAGGTGCCCTGAGGGGTGGTAGTTGGTTTGTTCTCTCATCCAAAAAGCCTGCCGAAAAAGCTTGGCCCTGACCCTGACCCTCTTCTAGGACGAACCTGGTTTGGTCCCCCACCCTTGTAAAAGCATTTATTCCTTCCTCAGCAAGAGGCATTGAGGACCTCCTAGATGCCAAGTTCTGTGATCAAAACCGAGGTTACAGAGCTGAATCCAACAAAATAATCTGCCCTGGGGGTGCTCGAAGTCAAGTTGGTGCTGGTGATTGGGGGTGGGGTAGGGGTGGGGGATGGACTTCTAAACAGAGGAGTGTAATCAACTGTTACCAGACCGAAACCCAAGGACAGGAGGAGGGGTCAGTTCTGTGAAGGGAGGAGGATGGAGAGGGTGGCCAGGGGTGCACAGAGAATCCTGGAATATTTGCTCTGGAAGGGACATCAGGAAGCAAAGCCCAACCCTCTCACTTTGTGGATGGGGAAACTGAGGCCCAGGATGGGGAAGGGACTTAGCCAGGGTCACTCAGTGAGGTAGTGGCAGGCTCTCAGACCCCTGGTGGCCAGCCAGGGTCCGTTTGATGGTGCCAGGCTCCCTTTCTGGTTTTCTGAATCCCAACCCTTGTGTCCTAACTGCACTTTTGGAGACACATTTGACATCTCTATCCTGCAGTCACCCAAGAGGTGCCTGCTCAGGCCCGAGGAGCCGGGCGCTGCCAGTCCTTCCTCCAGAGGCAGTGTGGCCTCCTCTCGGCCTAGAATGGGGTGGTTGCGTTTTTCTCTCTCTCTCTCTATCTCTCTTGCATTTTTGTGAATCTAATGATGAACTTACGCTACCACACTTTTCCCTTCTCTTACACATCTTACCTACTAAAGGAGGAAGTGCCACTTTATTGGTAAGTGGACGTTAACCAAGAGGGACTTAAAAAATCAGAACTTAAAAAAAAAAAAGGAAAAGAAAAGAGAGAAACAGAAAGACAGTCGGGTGCTGCTGACAGTTCCACAGGTCTCTGCAGGGCCGGAAAACAAAGAAAGAAAAATGTTAACAGAAAAAATGTCAGTTCCCCAGGAGTTCAGACATTGTTTTTGATTTTGGTATCTAATGACATTTGTGGATTTTGTTTTTTTATTTCTGTTTTTCCTCCCTTTCTTCGGTTCAGTTTTGAGTTCAGTTGTCCCGCCCCGCCCCCACCCCCATCTGTGTGCCGTGTGCCCCCTCCATCCCCTCACCCACCCCCACGCGCTGGGGGGCCTGGCCTGGGGGGGCTGGCCCTGGCCCGGCCTCCCGGTGCCCGCCCTCTCTCTACTCTCTGCCGGGATCGTCCGTCCCATCGGGGGCCAATGCCAGCCCCCGTGCCCGTCCTGGAGCTCCCTCCGTTTCAGCCCCCCTTCCCCCACCGCTCCGTCCCTCTTGTGTTTTGCATGCCGAGAACCTTGCATGAGCTGCACTGTTGAGGCCAGAAGGTGGACACTCAGGAGAGGCAGAGGCAGGGCAGGCGCGGGGAACCGTGTGTGCGATGCTCCGGGACTGGCAGCCCCCGGCCTGGGCCCGGTGAAAGCCCCCTCTCCTTCTCTCCCCCCACCCCACCCCCCGCCCGCTCTCTCACCCTCGACCTCGCTCCTTCTCTTGGTCTGTCCTCTCTCTGTCTCTCCTCTTTTCCTCTCTCTGCCCGTCTCCTGCTTCTCTAACTTCCCCTGCTCTGTCTCCTCCGGCTGTGCCTCCCTCCCTCTCTCTCTCCCTCTCTCTCTCTCTGCTCTGGACTCTCGACCTCCTCGGTTTTCTCTGTCTCTGCGGGCCTCTCTTCCGCCCCGTCTCTGTCTGTGCCTCCGTCCCCTCTCCACCCCCTCCGTGCCCTCTCTGCCTCTCTCCCCGTCAGAAGCCCAGCTCGCCCTCGCCCAGGGCCCGCGACCAGGCGGAGGCCGGCGCAGCCACGCCGCCCGCGCGGGGCAAGGAGAGCCCGAGCCCGCGCTC